GGATCCTTTTTTCCAAACTCTAACTTCGGCTTCTTTGGTTTTGTAAATCTTAGAAGCTTACTTGTTTTATATAGTTGTCTTTCCTATATTGGTTGTCTTCGATCATCGGTCCTTCGATAGGGATGACTCATCAACTTGAAATGATCTTAAGCAAGACGAAGTATTTATAATTCCTCATGATGTATTCCCTTCGAGCATCATCTCCGATCTTTTCAACTTGAGCCATGGTCTCTCCGATTGAAACCACTCGGATTTCAAATCATCCGATGAATAGCAATAATTTTCTTTATCTTTTTTATATAGTTACTCGTAGAACCCTAATTGACTTAGATCTTTTTTTTTATTCAAGCTTTTTATGTTTGAACTCTCTTTATGTTGTGGCTTCTTCTTTGAAGCCACTTGAGTATGAGAAGATGACATTTATATTTGGTACTCCTTAATTGCCATTTTTGGTGATTCAACTAGTCTTGATCATGTTTGTGGACCAAAGTACCTTTTTTAAAGTTGAATTTGTGGTCTTTTGATCGCTTCTTGACCTTACGAGCATATGTTTTTGACCTAGACAAAGCTAGAACTAGAGCTGCTTTCTCTTCATGGGTTAGATCATACCAGTTATAATCTCTATGACCATCTAGAAAATCTATGAAGTGATAGCAGTTATCCGTCATGTGTAAAGTAGTAATATGCCATTTATAGTAGTGGTTGAGCTTTGAGTCTTCAAAACTAGGAAATTGAAGAACTTTTTTATCGACCATACGGTTGAAAACCCGATTAGCCATTTTGGTGGCCTTCAACATAGCAAGTTGTTCCTATAAATCGAGCAAGTCGACAACATCAAAGGTTAGAACCTCGACGACTTTAGGAAAATGATTGCTATCAACTTTCATAATTCTTCCGTATAAAAAAAAAAAGTTAATTCTTTTGACTCTATTAAGTCTTAAATAAATTCTTAAATAAAACACAATTATTAGTTGAATGGGATGGATCGTTGTGCCATTTATAGAATTTTTCTTTTTTAACTCTTCTAAAGTTAGTAATTTGTGTTTTCCTTTGAGCTTATCCTATTGTTGGCTAAAAGCCAATCAAAGATCATATATGCTTTATTAAGATCAAAAGAATATTTACAATCTTCTTTCGACTTAAAACTCACAAGAGTTTGTACATTCTTTCAAGCCAACTCTTTATAGATTATGGACTTTCTTTTAACATGCTTTGTAAAATCAACATCGACCATAGTAGAATCTTGGCAATATGTTCCAACCATGGTGCTCTTTTGAAGTGATTCTTCTTACGGAATTGCTTCAAACCTTGATGTCTTTTTAGTTAATTTATAAAGGTCTTGAAACGCCATGCCCTCAAATTTCTTTCCGAGCTCAAAATCTAATCTGTCTTGTGCAAAGCGTAAAAATTCACTTTCGGGTAAATTATCATGGCATCAAACTTTAGCTCTTTTGAACCTTAAAAGAAGCCACTCTATAGATTCACCATAAAACTACCTTAATCTTGCTAAATTTGCCACTCGAAATCCCAAGATTTGTTTTTAAAAACTATACTTGAAAAGCATTCTACATATCCTACTAGGTAAAGGTGGAATTTGGCAATAAATTAATTTACCAAATGAATGTTGCGGTAGTTAAAGAATTAAAAAAGAGTCATAATTTTTTAAAATCATCTCCTAATAACTCTCGCATTAAAAGGTAAATCGGCAACATGTATCCAAAGCAAAAACATTGTCCTCGCCAGTAAAAAGGGTGAATTCAAGAGCTTGAAATCCTTTAGAGAAAGGATATTCCTTGTTGATGTAATCTGGATATTACTTTTGATAAACAAGATGATTAACCATTTAGATTCATGATCCATACATCATTTCAATCATATTAGCCAAAAATTCTTAATTCATTTCTCCATGTGTCTTTCTAGGGATAGGATATGGTGTCGAACTCGTTTCCTTCGACTACGGCCATAGTTAGTGCATTCTATGGTGGAAAATTGCTTGTTACCCTTGAGACTATGTTTGAAGGAGGGCCATAATGTTATGTCGACATAACTACGGGAGGTGCCTCGGATGAATATCCATTAGTTTGGCTGTAATAAAGCATGTCTATTAATATTCTATGGCACATCGTGACCATTTCTACTATCAAATGGTCTATTAAGAAAAGAAGGTGGGTAACCTAAAAGAATTTCCATCGACTTGATTATTGATGGTCTTACTTCTTTATTGATATTGAAATTTCTTTCTTCGACTAGCTCTTTCCCTTTTCCTTCGCCAAAATCACAAGTCGTTGAACATCTTCTCTCGTTATTTGAGTAACACTTGTAGTTGTTTCAAACCTTGGTTCAATGACAATCTCTATTTCTTTGTCAACTTGTCTTACTAATGGAATAATAGTTTCATTAAATAGGTGATTTACATCCGTAATCACTTTGTCACCATGGTAACACATATAATTCAATAGTTCAACATTATGGTTATTAATAATTTCACTATTTGTCTTCGATGAATCGACTATGGAAGCTCTTATTTTGTTGATATCCTCCTTAAGTTGGTTCGACATCAACCGTATTTGTCGATTTATTTGCTCGTTGATGTTCAAAGATGGGCCATACATTCTTTTTATCAATTCTTTAGTCCGATTTGATAACACCTGTCAAAATTTAACAACCTCTTCTTCGATGTTTTTTTTCCTAATGTCATGGTTTTTATTTACGGAACCATCACTTCTTTCTAAACCCACACGTTCTCAACTTTCGACATCAAACTCGTTTCGACTATCATATTGCTTTTTGTCGGTTACACTTTTAGGTTCTATTTTATTGTCATCCTTGGTTTCTCCGCAATCGCAGATTTTCAATGGTTTCCATTAAAGGTTCACCTCAAAAAAATTGGATCACATCTTCGACATAAATAAGGAGTATTTCATTGATTTAGTATTCTTTAAAGAGTTGATATCTCGTCATACTTCTAGTAGTACTACGTTTTGCCATTTCTCTCCTACTATGGTTGCTAAAAGTTATTACTCGCTCATCGAATTCGATCGCAAAGCGAGTAGGTCGGTGCTTCTATTTATGATCAAGAACTTCACAATGAAATAATATGGGATTTGGTTTTACCTAGTAAGCCACTAGGATTTTCCATGGGTGCTCAATTTAAAATAAAATAAAAAGAATGTTATTAATCGAAAGAAATAACACTCAAGAGATGGAAAGAATTTCATCAATCGAAAAAGATAAAACTCACTAAAAAAATATAAATATCATAAATTAGAAGATATGACACATACATCATTATTCATCGAAACACTCAAAGCCATTTAACCATAATCAAAGACGGATCAACACTTTCTAGGTTACAATAATGAAACTATTGAAAGTAGTAAAAGCTATCGAACTACTTACAAGAATGTACAAGCTAACTTTTACCGAGTAAACTAGAAAAATTGAATAAATTTTTGTTGAAAAGTCTTGTATGTTGATTGTGTCTTTGATTTTGTCGGTGTCTCTTCTTTAAATAGCTCACGATCGATAAATGCCTTAAAATTGAAGTTGGGTGCGAACGAGTTATTGGTAACTCGTCTCTTCATTTCCTTTAAACATGTTGCTTTGTCGAATCGAGCTGATTATAAGACTAAATGCATCGCTTTATTTAAGTCTTAGTGTTTCATCGAGCTTGATTGGTTTATAAGACCAAATGCACCGTTTCATTTAAATATCATTGCTTCGTCGAAACTTGGTTGATTATTAGAGCAAACGCATCGTTTCATTTAGGTCTTAGTGTTTTATCAAAACTTGATTGATTATTAGACCAAACACATCGTTTTATTTAGGTCTTATTGTTTTGTCAAAACTTGATTGGATATAAGATCAAACGTACCGTTTTATTTAAGTCTTACTATTTCGTTATAAGAGGATACCATACTTGCTCGATGTGTGGCTTTTAAATTTTTGAGATGCCAACATATAGTAATAGTGTATCATTATTTATTTGTTTGTTTGTTTTTGAGAATGCTCGGGTATCATTTCACCTAGACTAATCAATAAAACTTGAAGCATTTGGGATTAACCTCAATCATTCAAATGCCGACATTTTTACCAGCCTCACCATCAACCATCGGTACAATTGACGAGATTATTAAAGGAGAATATCATAATTGTGTTGGCGTGGTTATTAATAATCATGCAGTGCATGCTACCTAATTAAATTTATTAGTTCATATTATTATTATTATTATTTATTGTATGAATATCTTTAATGATATGATATGCATTCAGCAAAATTTAATGGCTTTTTATATATATATATTTTACTATCAAAATTTAAATTAAAAAAGAATAAAAATATTTAATTATGGAACAAATCCTTTGGAGTTATTAAGCTTATTAATTAAGACAAAAAAAATAGTCATAAAAAAAATGAGAAAAATATTAACGTTCAGATTCAACCCTCACGTTCATAAGAACAAATGTTCTCTATGTTATATTTCAAGGCTCCCTTTTTTTCTTTTTTTTTTAATTGTCTTGTTGTTATGTTGTTTTCAAGTACACTAGTTTTCCTTAGAAAACTAATTTCAAGATATATTAGGAAAAGGAAGAAAAGAGCGAGAGTGTCCATGAGCGATCAAACAGGAAACTAATTTGCAAAAGTAAAAACTGAAAAACCTTCGACAGCTAGCAAGACCAGTTCCTTCATAAAAAAATAAAAAAGAAAAAAGAAAAAAAAGTAGTTGATATCATCTAGCATTCCAAACTCTCCTCTCAGCTCAGGTCTCAACTGCTGCCCCTGCCTAGTTGCCTTAGTGCCTCCAAACTCCAAAGCCGTACTCCTCACCTCGCCAAGCAGTTTCAAACAAGACTTGTCAACTCTCTAGACTCTAAACCCCTGCTCTCTAGACTCAGTCTCTTCCCCCCAACCAAATACCCATTCTTCATGTTCATGTCCCTACCCTAAACCACCACATCAAAACCACTTCTTTTCACCTAAAAAAACAACACCACAAGCCATGGGTGGAAATGGGAAGCACAGATGGAAAATCTCTTTCTATTCTCGCTCAAAACCTACACAAACCCAACAACAATCTCCTAAAGAATTCCTTTGTCCCATTTCTGGATCCTTAATGTTTGACCCTGTTGTTGTCGCCTCGGGCCAAACCTTCGAGCGGCTGTCCGTCCAAGTTTGCCGCGATTTAGGCTTTACCCCTACCCTCCAAGACAACACCCTTCCTGATTTCACCGCTGTAATCCCCAATTTAGCTATCAAATCAACGATTCTCAAGTGGTGTGATACTTCAGGCACCCAACACCCTTCCGAGCCGGATTACTCCTCTCTCGAGGAAATTATCCGTGAACAAATGAAAGTCTCGTCACCAGCTTCATCGTCGATGCAGTTAAATATGAGCCCTCCAGGTATTAGAGTTTCCGAGCGGGAGTTGCTTAAGGGAGTAGCTGAAAATCCTCCCGTTTTGTTCTCCCACGCCAACACTGAGTTGACTCACCGAGTCAACCATTTCTACTCCAGCTCCTCCGAAGAATCGGTAATTGTCAACACAGCCGCCACTCCTGCAGCGAGTCCACTCACTCCTTTGCCTCTCGCGACTCGACCAGCGTGCTATTCTTCCGCTTCCTCCTCGTCCAATTCGATAACGGAATCCGAAACCCTAACCCTAACTGAAGATCCTAATCCTGCTTCTAATTCGAATTCTTCCTCTTCTCGTGAAGAAGATGAGATATTGGAAAAGCTTAAGAGTCTTGATGTACATGATCAAGAACAGGGTGTGATTTCGCTACGAAAGATCACGAGAACGAAAGAGGAAATCAGAGTTTCACTTTGTACGCCTCGATTACTCTCTGCTCTTCGTACTTTAATTGCTTCACGATATTTTGTTGTTCAAACAAATGCCATTGCTTCACTTATTAATCTGTCCTTAGAGAAATTAAATAAGGTGAAAATTGTGCGGTCTGGTTTTATTCCCTTATTGATTGATGTGTTGAAAGGAGGATTTGATGAAGCCAAAGAGCATGCTGCTGGTGCGATATTTAGTTTAGCTTTAGAGGATGAAAATAAGATGGCAATTGGTGTTTTAGGTGCATTGCAGCCATTGATGCACATGTTGAGGGCGGAGAGTGAGAGAGCTCGCCATGATTCGGCATTGGCGTTGTATCATTTGAGTTTAATACAGAGCAATCGGGTTAAGTTGGTGAAACTCGGGGCTGTTCCGATGTTGTTGAGTATGGTGAAGTTGGGTCATCTGGCGAGTAGGTTGCTGCTTGTGTTATGCAATTTGGCTGCTTGTAATGAAGGGAGATCGGCTATGCTTGATGCGAATGCAGTGGCAATATTGGTGGGGAAGTTGAGGGAGGGTGGAGGGGGGATTCGGAGGTGGTTCAAGAGAATTGTGTGGCTGCATTGTTTGCATTGAGTCATGGGAGTATGAGGTTTAAGGGATTGGCTAAGGAGGCAAGAGCTGTGGAGGTGTTGAGGGAGATTGAAGGGCAAGGGAGCGATAGAGCAAGAGAGAAAGCAAAGAGGATTTTGATGATGATGAGAGGGAGAGACGAGGAGGACGAGGAGGTCGATTGGGAAGAGGTTTTGGAATCAGGTGGAATCAGTCGGACTCGGTACCGAGTTGGTGGCAGAAATTTGTATGGTCCGAACTCTACTAATTTTTGATTTTTTTTTCTTTTGTAAAGTCTGTAATTATTTATTGTGTTGTGTTTGTGGGTATATCTTTGCGGGTGTAAAGGTGGGAATGTGTTATGCGTCTGTGTGTCCTTTTCTTTTGTTGTTGAGTTCGGTTGATAGTAAATCAAAGTTGTAAGATTTTTGGAATGTGTTGGATCTGTACATAAATAGCTAGGATTTGGAATAATAGAGATTAGAAACAAAATTTGGATTTAGTATATTTCACTAATGATGATCCATCTCTTTAAGTGTATGCACAAGCGTAATTTATTGGAACTGAACACCGCTTTGTTTGTGCGAAGACCCCAGAGATTTATTATATTATTATCCTTCATTGACTTGTTCTTGAATGGTTGCTTTTGTTCTCATGTTGACTTTGTCTCATTCCATGAGCTATATATGTTGGGAGTGAATGCCAGGTAGGTATGGTGTCAACTAACCTGGGCATTTGGCAAAGCTCATTTGCCTATGTTGGATTCGGGGGATGTAGGGTAGCTCTTTTTCTCTTTTTTTCTTTTGGTGCACGCCATTTGTGTCTCAAGTAGTCAAGTGTTAAATGATACCACTTTTTAGTACCAAAAAAGTTAAAAGACTAGTTGAAATGATTTTTTTTTCTTTTTTTAACGAATGATTAGTTTCTCTTCTTTCTTGTTTTCTTCAAATCGAGATTTGGAAGAGCATTTAAACCAGTACCAGTGTTGCATGCAAAAATAGTTATTATGTATTTTAGTTGAGTTGCACATGAGTGATTTTGTATCGATGTGAAGTAATCCCTTACTGTTTTGTTTAGAAAAAAACAGGTAATTACTTGGCTCTTTATAAATCAATAACTAGACATTTTTGCCATTAAAATACGAATGAAATTTCAGTGATGAGAAAATTTGTTACACAAAACATTGCCGTTTTGGTTTTCTCACAAGCGGTTATGCAGATTCGAGTTTTCTACAGACGTGGTATTGATATTAGGATGCTGATCTTGTCAAAAAAATAAAAAAGGGACATTGACTGCCTTTTGAAAAGATACTGCCAAAAAATAGGATAGCAATCTTGTCTATTCGAAAAGTTGCGCAACTTGATCTGTAATCTCTATGGACAGGGCTTGGATAGCAAGCGGAGTTGTCACATAGCAATCGAAAAACTAAAAAACCGTAAACAAATTAGCCTTCGTAAATATTTGAATAAGGAAGCGGTCACGAGTGAAAAGATCGAGATCAGCACTTTTATGTATTACTTCAGATAGATAGTATAATATGTATGTGGAAACTAAAGTTCGCTCTTGTTATGTTATGAATCTATACCTACTTAAGTGAATTCAACTTATGTTAATCGATCGATCGAGTATTTCATTGTTTGAACTGATCGGAGACCTATACCCAATACTCTAATGTAAAAGAGATTAGAAATTTAAATTTTGGTTAGTTCCTAGCGAATGCAAACCAATATAAAAAATAGTGAGCCTCTAGAGATTACAAATCCAATATTGACACAAAAGAAAAGCGATGACGACTTTGATTCACATATTTAGGAGGTCGCCAACGACTTCGTCCATATAAATGAAGTCGTTAATGCCTTTGTCCATATAAATGGAAACTCGTCGATTACTTCAATTCACATAATTAGGAGGCCATTAATGACTTCGTCCATACAAATGGGAAGCCACCGACGACTTTGATTAACATAATTGGAAGGCCACCGATGACTTCACCTACATAAATAGGAAGCTACTAACAACTTCGATTCACATAATAGGGAGGTCACCGACGGCTTCGTTTCACACAATTGAAAGGCCACCGACGGCTTCGTTTATACAAATGAAAAACCGCAGACGACTTCGATTCACATCATCGGGAGGTCATCAATGACTTCGTCTACACAAGTAGAAAGTCATTGCTGAATTTGATTCATATAATTGGGAGGCTACCAACGACTTTGTCCACATATATAAAAAATCATTGATGACTTCGATTCACACAATTAGAAAGCCACCGACGACTTAGTCTATACAAATGAAAAGTTACCAATAACTTCAATTCACATAATTGGGAGGCCATCAAAAACTTCATTCATACAAATAAAAAGCCATGGACGACTTCGATTCACACGATAAGAAGACCACCGATGATTTCATCCACGAAATAGAAAGTTATCAACGACTTTGCTTCACATAATTAGGAGGCTACACACGACTTTGTCCACACAAGTAGGAAGTCGTTGTCAACTTTAATTCATATCATTGAGAAGTAATTGACATCTTCATTCACACAAATGAAAAGCCGTCAATGACTTTGTTTCACATCATTGGGAGGCCATTGACAACTCTATCCATAAAGTAAGAAACAATCAATGACTTCAATTTACACAATTGGGAGGGCACCTACGACTTCCTTCATATAAATGGGAAGTTATAGACAACTTCAATTCACATAATTAAAAGGTCGTCGATGACTTCGTCCACACAAATGGAAAATCACCGACGACTTTGATTCACACAATAAGGAGGCCACCGACAACTTCATCCACATAAATAGAAAGTCTTCGATAACTTCGATTCACACAATCGGAAAGCCATTGACGACTTTATCTACACAAATGAGAAGTTGTCGATAACTTTGATTCACATCATTAGGAAGCCATAGATGACTTTGTCCATGCAAGTGTGAAGTTGTCGTCAACTTCGATCCATTAAAAAACAATTTATTCACATACACATATCATACTTTAAAGGTAATAATTATGTAATTAAATTATTTCAATCATCATATTAAATCAACCATAGCATCCAAAGAAAACATAAAATATTTATACGTGCATACCGGGGTCAACATTTACCTTGGATAAACTAATAAAATTAAAGCCCATGTTTAATCCTTCTAGTTACATCGCAAAACATTTAACACTAACTTTATTTCACCTCAAAAGTGCTCGACCTTTTGGATTCGATACACAACAATGTATCTTAATCACACTTTGATATCACATACATATCATAACATCTCATTCATCCATATTATTAATTTAAATATAGATGTGGTATGGATGATGTTGGGAACTTACCTCATTGGTCAAAGTGATCGTAGAATCTCTATAGGAGTATCGAAGACATCTTTTAAGCCAAAAACAAATAAAGCCTTTTTAACCCTTCAATGGAGACAACCAATGTTGCCAACCGAATGAAAGAAAGGTTAGCTCTTCAAGTCATGGTTTTCCTTCTTCCTTTGTTTATGTTGACCACATTCTTTTGTAAGATCATTCATCCTATGGAGGTGCGGAATAAACAAAAAATTTTCTCCAACTAAAAAGCCGAGAGATCATGCCATTGAATCGACTAACTATATATGCATGAATTAAAGCAATGAATAGAGAATTATCTCTTATAGCACGGATCTAAATTTTTTAGCAAAAAAAGCTATCCAAGTGTCCGATCTCTATTGATGATCCACATAATCCAAATACCCATAAAGAAGCACTCAAAATTGATGAAGTGTTAGCTTTATCTTTTCCGATTTATGTAGTGTTTCCTATAGAAATCTAATTCGAACAAGTTTGTGATAACCCAAAAGAAGAGGAAGAGTAGGTGGCGTACTAAGGTTTTTGAGAAAAACTATTTTTTCTTTTTTCTTTCTTGGCCATGTGTCTTCATCCTTTTTTTTTCTTTATTGGTCGAATTCTTTCTCTCAAAAATTACTTGTATGTTTCACCTCTTTCTCCCTCATATATTTACGGGAGAGACTTCTTTTTCCTCCAAGGACAATGAGAGGCGGTAATGAGTCCCTTAAGGACTCTAGGTTGTTGCTTCTTAATCCTTCAAGGATTAAGAGTTATTTTACATGTGGGCTTTTTGATCTTTATCTTTAAAATATTCATCCTTATCCAATATGGTTGATGTTTATCCTCCCATAAAAATATCTTAAGGCATTTAATTAAATCTATTGTGCCAAAACTATTCGATCCAATTAATTTATTTGGACTATCCAAATAAATAATCTTACATAATTTTAGGTGACCCATATTAAGAAATAATTTTTCAAAATACCCTTTAACCTAAATTAGAAAATTCATTTTCATTTTAGGTTATTTACTTCCAAATTTAGATCCAACTTTCAAATTAAGAAACTAATTTCTAAAATAGAAAACTTTCCATTTTAGAAAACTTCTATTTTAAAAAAAAAACTTTCTATTTTAGGAAACTTTTCATTTTTAGAAACTTTTTCCAATATCTTTACTTCTCTTTAATCATATAAATACTTAAATTTATGCGTGTGACTCAATAGGCTCCTAAATATGTTGGCAATGTATCGGGAACAAAAGACTCCTCGTTTATCTCTAGATACATAGATCAAGATTGGCCTTTAGTAAGATATCATGACCACTCAATTTTCTAAGAGGATTAATTAATCCATTATTACCTTTCACGAGCATGGTTACCATACAATTCGGTCCTCATGTCAACTTATCATAGTGTGATCTCAAACTTAGTTATAAGTCTTGTTCAATTATGATCACACAAATTTTTTTCGATTTCCAAATGTCTTAGCTCTTACGAGTAACTCTATCGGTATACTCCTATTATGGTCATAGATTTCTTGAGCGGACATTTATCAAAATATAATGTGATAACTCCTTTACCATACAAGGAATGACATGTCCTATTTTAGTCATACACCTACCTTCATTAGATTCCTAGTGCACCTAACGAATCACCCACATGCACCTAACGAATCGCCCATGTACTACCATTTACCGAGTCCATCGAAATAAGCATCAAAGTGCATAAATCCTCTAATGAGATAAACGTGATGACTTTAAGTCTAAGGACCACTTGGACACTTCTCATATAAGATTTTTCATAGACTAAACCAAATGGGCTCTCACAGCGAGTCAAGTCCAATGATATGTTTTCTAACATAAATCACCCGAGTACTTGCTTTGACACCATCATGCCAATAGGTGTGAGATCTCCTACTGCTATCATATAGTATGAGCATAGCACTTATAAGTCTAACCGCATATAGTCAATGTCTATTCCCGACAATGTTACGACTTAGGATATTTAATGATATCATTTATTAGTGTTTGTCTCATATCTTTTGATCAATCACTAATGTAAATGCATATCATATGGATTTCTATCTAATTCTATTCAATCAATAAATATAAATAACAATAATTAATAAAAATACTTTATCATAAATCATGCAATGATACAATAATTCAAACTCATTCAAACATGGTTAGATCTTGGACACCTACACTAACATCTTTAATCGAGGTTTGAAGAATAATTTTAAACCCCAAATACACTAACTCTTACTCGCAGTCATCATCATCATTTGGGCTTAGGTTTAGGGCTATTTTGTGACTATTTTTAAGGGGTTTTGGAGGCTAGAGATTTGTGACAACAAGGCTGAAAAATGATAGTTTGAGTTGTAGATTTTTAAAGCTTGTTTGTGGTGGGTTTTTAGAGCTATCTCAAGGACGGAATTTGGTGGGTTTAAGGGCTATCATCATGTGTTTTGATGTTTTTTTTAAGGGTTGGAAATAGTGATTTAAGGGTCTGGACGGTGGCAACAATGGGATTGTTTTGGTATAGGGGTTGTCATGGGTTTTGGCGAGCAATTTTAGGTCTTTTGGTGATTGTTTTGGACTCTTTTTTATTGTTGGATAGTAATGAGCTAGAAAGGTCGTTGAAGGGACTATTTTATGGTAGAAGAATGGCAAAAAAGTGATGTAAGAGGCATTGGATAGCGACGACATATTACTATATTGTCGATGATTCCGCCACTATTTTAATGACTTGAAGCTACTATTTTTGTGGCTTGGAGGTTGTTGGAAGTTGAAACGACGAGTTGTGATTGGATTATAGGAGATTACAGCAATAAAAGAGGACCAAAAAATGGTGGATGAGCGATTGGAACTGGGTTGTAATAGTAGCAATAATGGCTACATAAAGAGGGGATGTTTTCATAGATTCGGATGGCTTTTTGGGGAAGCTTCATGACTGCAATAGAGTAGGAGGAGCTAGGTGGCCAAACGTTGGGTTGTTTTTGTAACATTCCTAACCTAGGACCTAAAGTAAATCAAAAATATTATTGATAATAACTCATATTCTATGTGCAACGAATGCAAGACAAGAAGCCTTGTGACTTATACTATCTAAAATAATTAATTTTCATAGTAGAAGTTCATTTAATTTAAACTTAGGTCCATCTTAATTGAAAATATATCATAATTACAAGTATATTCCTATATTCTTCTAAAATAATTAACTAGAAATCCTTTTGTCTAATTCTCAAAAATCAATCCATAAAACATATTTCAAAATCATTTTACAAGACACTTGTACAAAACTATGTATTTGATTAGTATATTAAATTATTACGTCAATTCCATATCAAATAGGAATTAATTTAGTTTCCACAAAACATATGACTAAATCAATTTCATTCAATATTATAATAATTATTTATTCGTTAAATATGTTTGTATAAAATCTAAATCCTTTACCTTTAGACTTACTCATTTAATAGAAATATTAACTATAACTTGGAAATCCATTCCAAGTTCTTATATCCATATTTGATGGAAATCATTCATTTGAACATCTAAATACATTTAGTGGTGGCATGTTCGAGTCGGGGTGAGGCAAAAGATAAGATGGTGGTTTTTTGGTAGTGGTCTATCATGCGGTAGCAAGGGAGAAGATGATGAAATAAGGTTTGCGTTTTATTATTCTCCCATTTGGGAGAAATCAATGAAAAGTAGTTGGAGACCCCCTAATTGGGAGAGAAAGAGGGGAATTTATAAGGGGATTAAATTAGAATTTGAGAAAAGATCAATTTTGCTCTCTGTTTCTTTCGCCTTTTTCAATTTCGGCTTGCATCTTTTTATTTTTCTTCAATCACACCCTTTATTTGAAATAATCAAGCCTTTTTCTTTCAATTACATCCTTCCTTAATTCTAATTAAAAATCTTAAATTTTAATCCTTTCAATTACACCCTTCATTGGGTTTTCTTTGGTCCCTACACTTTGTAGTTTTTTCAATAGGACTCCCAAAAATAATTTTATTCATTTATTTTAATTATCACTTTTTTATATCTTTTTTTCCTAAAAATTAAGAAATTAATTTGGGTAAAAATCAAATGTCAACATATGTTCATTAAAAAATAATCTCATTCGGAAAGATATATGATTCATTTGGTCAAATGCGAAACATATCATGGAAATGTCATAATATAACCCTAATCCTTCTTTGGGCTAGACAAACGAAATATATTTGGATCATATAAAAATTTTGAAAAGAAATCATCTCTTTTGGAAGGTGATTTATCAAAAATTGGCTTATAGAGTGCAACATGCTCAAATGAATTTTGCGAACTCAAATAGTTTTGAAGAAAGTTTGGCTCTAATAAGTGTTCTTGCCTAGAAAGACTCGATTCATTTCTTTCTTGTCCCTAGTTACTTGATGAAAACTCATGATTTAATATTATAAATTATGATTTTGTAATGCACATACAAGTTAAGTTTTATTCAAAAATATTTTTTTCTTCTCATTTGAAGCTAAAACTTATCAATACAAACAAACCATTTTTATTAGAAATGGCTTTCAAAGGTACGCAACCTTTTATTTATGAATGAAATGATATAAAAAACTCAAATGGTGTTTGAGGTTTATAAAGACTTTAGATTACTTTATCGAGTCATTGAATTCACTTTATGTATGCCATCTTAACTTTATCACTTTCACAATTAGTTTCACTTTTCTCATCATTTGACACTCATAAAGAATCACACTAGGCATACCACCATGACTTTAACATCTTAGGAGTTGATCTCATTTTCTAATCTCAACTCTCCTTTCATGTTTATTCTTATCTTCTTTTTTTTTTTCTTTTGGGATTTCTAAACCTTTATAACTTCAAATCATGATAGAAGTCACTCTAGATAGCACTTTGTTTTTGTCTTAGTGCTTTCATTTTCTTTTCTTTTCTTTTTTTCATTCTTTTTTCTTTTTAAAATTTTTTTTAAGGGTTTTCTCAACAATTTTATTTTTTTGAACAATCATCACCATTTCTCTTTTCATTTTTTTCAAAGAAAATGTCCTTGATTATTCTTAAACTTTTAAAATTATCCCTAGCGTGAGGAGTGATTATGGTTTAGGTTATTATTGAAAGAAATATTTTAAGGCTTAAAGTTGGAAAACAAGGGATAGGTTTTGTTTTGTTTTTTTGTTTTTTTTGTTTTTTGTTTTTTGTTTTTTTGTGAAATGGTACATAAAAAATGGATTTTCTTATCTCAAATCTGATCTTGTTCAAGTCGATAAGTTCTAGTTTTATTTAAAAACCATGATTAATTTATAGAAAAAAAAAAAAAAGGTGGATTGAGTGGGATCATCATCCGAATGTGTACCACTCATCATTATTTAAGACATCAAATCTCTTGTTTTTTCATCTTGGGCATCAATGCATTGTATTAAGCAAAAGCTGTCTTCAAACAATTTATTATGGGTAGGAAAAAGTGTTTTTGGTTTCAAAAAGAGGGATTATCCTCTAGTATACTGCACGACAAGTTTTGAAAGTTAATCAATATTGAAAATTTTTGAATGAGTTTATCATTTTATTCATTTTGATTTATATGATATAAAATGACAAATGATGCTTTCGAAAAAATATCTCTTGATTTCAAATTAATAAAACATGCAAGGAGAATGATTTTTTTATTCAAAGAAACCACTCAATCTATGAAAATCATAACACGTTTTGAAAATAGAATTCAAAAATTCAAAAAAAATTAGAGATTTTAATCACAAAACCAAGCCACATAAATTCTACCACAAGTCGAAGACACTTTCACATTCATCGTCATATTCGGTGTCTTCTCGAGAAATCTTTATCCATTGATTCCTTTTTTGACATAATCATTATTATCTAGTTTCTCAAATTGGCAACTCGACATAGCTCGGACCGGTAATCATTAAGATTGACATAACATACACGTTGACATAATAAGCTTCACTTTTCTTCATGAGTGACAACTGATCATCCTTGATCAAAGCATGAATTCAAGTCTCGAATGCTAAGCAACTTTCAAATTTACTTAAACTCGACTATTCAAAAATATATTTTAGAAAATAATTTTGACAAATAATGATTTTTTTTAAAACTAAATTTTATTTTTTAAAAAAATGATGTCTTTATATGATTTTTATATCCTAATAAAAATAATCAATTCATTATCCATACTCTAAATTTTCTTAAAATATTATAGGTGTCTCTATGCTTTTTTATTTTATTTTATTTTATGTCCCATATGTTTGATTAAAAAAAAAACAGAAAAATTCCTAAAATGGTGAAGACCACGGGAAATAATATGAAAATGTCAATTGCATTAATATCCAATTGTTAATATCGAAAACCGAAGTCCATTAAAAGAAAAATCCACCCTAAAATCTAATAGGATCAAATTAAATTCTCAATTTTGTTTCAAGGGCCAAGGGCCTTGAATAATTCTTTCAAGGACTAATTCTGTTTGTTTTTGAGGATCTGAGCTTGACATCTTTTGCCATCTAACCCTGACTCTGACGAAAATAAAAAATGCCGAATGAACACAAAAGAAAGCGACAACCAGAGCTTAAACCTAATACCCATAAAAAACCAGCCAAAACCATAAGCAACGGAAAAGAAGAAGAGCCATTCCCAACTCACGCTCGACCTACACCAGATGAATGCAGAGCAATACGAGACTCTCTCTTGGCCTTTCACGGCTTTCCTCAAGAGTTTGCAAAATATCGCAAACAGAGAGACGATGAAGGTTCTTCCCATTTAATAAACAGTTGTGATAAAAAGAATGACAGTGGGGTGAAAGTGGAAGAAGAGGAGAGTGTTTTGGATGGTCTAGTGAAAACAGTACTATCCCAGAATACTACAGAGGTTAATTCTCAAAGGGCTTTTCTTAATCTCAAGTCTGCTTTTCCAACTTGGGAAAATGTAAGTTTTTCGTAAAAGTTTATTTTCTCTTTTGTTTTCTTTGTTTTGGCGTGATGATTGATTAAAATTTTATCGAATTTCTTAATTGTTGTTGGAACTCACAGTTTTTACGTGTTGGCTTGGTTTGAATAGTCTATTGTTGTTTCTGTTTAAGGTGATTGCTGCTGAATCAAAATGTGTAGAGAATGCTATAAGATGTGGAGGTTTAGCTTCAACAAAGGCTGCATGCATTAGGAACATATTGAGTTGTTTGATGGAGAAAAAAGGAAAATTATGCTTGGAGTACCTTCGAGATTTGTCAGTCGCGGAAATTAAGGCTGAGCTCTTTCATTTCAAAGGAATTGGGCCCAAGACGGTAATTTTTCTATCAATGACAGCATCATGCAAGTCTGTAAAATACTTATTGATCTGCTAATGATTGAAAAAGAGATTGGCACTTAAAAATACAACTATTGCATTACGGAAGTCTGTAAATTAGTTATTGATCTGCTGATGACTGGAAAGAGAATGGCACTTAAAAGTAGAACTATTGTGGTAGCTATGCATGAAGCTCTTGTAACAATGGAAACCAGTCATTTGGTTTTTGTGGAAATTTTGATTATGCAATCTTCTGTCAGCCCTTTCCTCGGTTGGGGACTTCCATGACATGACAACGGGTAGCATTTTCGTATGCTCGATGTTTGCTGCCCTGGTTTATACCCCCGAGAACTCCTATGGGCGATCTGTCACCCAACCTCCTTAAAAAACCTAAAGGCTTGGCCCTGTTCTGTTTGGAATTGGAGAATGGGCCTTGTGGAACGGCTTAGTCAGTTACTCTTGCAGTTCGGATGAGATTTGGATAACCTTATCTGAAAGCATGGTTTTTGCCTCCCTCTTTGGAGTTCGTCCATTCGCTGGGCGATCCCTTGCTCTCATGTTTAAGTGTTTGCTTGTCGTTTAGGCCAGTGAGTAAGATTTCTGCTCATTGCAGTCACCTCCGGTGTTCTTCGCACCTGGATAGTACCAGGGCTTGTGTTGGTTTCATTGGTTCAACCAGGCTTATGCACATGCTACGGAAATTATATCTCATTAGCGTCTAATGCAAGCCTCATTCGCAGTTTTGCTCTTTGCGTTAAACTGTACAGATATATAATTTTGTGCATGCATGTACCTAACCATTAATCGAAAAGCCATGGGAACAATGGAACCTATGAATGCATGTTGTTGTGTTCATTGCTATAGGATATTTGTGTCTCCCATATTTGGATTCCCCTTTATACAATACAATATATTTGTTAGAAAAGAAAGATGTTAGAAACTCTACTATGTTTGTATATGTTTTTTACCCTGTTTTGTGGGGTACTGTTTGCTTTAATGTTCAATCAATTGTCACTTTCTTTAAAAGGAGGATTATCTTCTTTTTTTTTTTTTCTGGAAGGCGTCAACTGAACTTGAAGATTATCATTTCATTTCATGTTGCCCCATCGTAGCTTTTTTTTTTTTTTTTTTCTTTTTTGGCTTGGCAAGATAGCCAATGATCTGGCCTTTCCATTCAAATATTTAACTCAATTACATCATATCACAAAAATACAGTTTTGTGGTTTTTTGGTTGCAAACATTTGTATTTTTCTTTTTTAGATTGGCATCTTTTGAAGAATGCGATTCTTCTTCATCTCTTTTTAACTCATAAGAAAAGGAGGAAGGAATCTGCTGGTGAAGAGAGTCTTGTGCTGCTTGCTAGTGCAGCCCAGTAAAGAAAAGGCTAATGGAGGTGATGGAGACTGTATTGAAATATTGGTACAATCTAGACTAAAAATTTGGAAACGTTGGGCAGTGATTACTGTAAGCTTACGAGTATTGACTAGGGGAAACGTCTACATGGATGATATCTCGACACAAAGAGAAAGGTTGAGTGAAAGCAAAGATAGTTTAATTCCTTTTGCCAAGATAGAATTGACGTGATCAGATGATACAAGTACAACAACTTACATTGCACTTAAGTAATGCTATTTGGTGATCCTTAATATTTACTGTAGGCCCAATTACCCAGATAGCAACTTCAGCTTTTTGTTTTTGGAGATGCGTGCATGGCGAAATAATGGTATCACCAGACCCACAGCCACTTCCTCTCATGGTCTCTGGTTAATTTGATTCTGATTTTATTCTGTTGATCCTGCAGGCTACAAGGATGCCAGAACAAACCGATCCTTGGTATATATTGTGGATCCAAATGCCTGAAAAAAGTAACTCCATCTAACACTTTAGGGAGGTAGAGCCATGGTAGTATAATTGGCCTTGTGATCTCCAGAAGTTGGTTAGGAAGAACAAAACTTTAAAACTATTATTTGATTATCTGCTCGAAATGGCCAGACTATTACTCGTTGCCAAATTTTTACCTTTTTCATGATACAATGATTAGGTACTACTGCTTAAATTCCTTCAAATCTTAGATAAGGGAATTTAAGGATTAGATTATGTGTAAGCTGAAATGAACTAAACTATGGTTTCAGCAAGGATTCATATAATCTGAATAGCAAATAAGAAGACTTTATACTAGAGTAAAAAAAAACACCCCTTGGATAGTTGCCATTTCTGCTAGAATTAGTGTTTTCTGCATTGAATCACCCCAAATCAACGTGTGCGAGCTGTTTGATTGGTGGGAATTGATAGTTTATTGCTCACACATTGTGGAGAGTACCTTCAGTTTTTTTTTTTTTTTTTTTTTTTTTTTTTTTCCTTGGGGATTTTAGCACTTTTCTTTTCTGTTAAGGTCCAGTTCCTCTTATAGAAGTTCCTCAACACTATTCTTCTATCATGTGAACTTTGAAAACTAAAATAAAAGCAAATATTAATGTTTGGTATCATCATTTGTCATTCTTTCTGTGTGATTGTCGGTTTGCCTTACATGCAATTAATTCCACAAACACTCATTTTACTCCTAACCTTGGGAACCAAATTCTCTTTTCTTTGTCTTGCGTGAGTACAAGCCCACCTATTTTCATATGCATGTTTACACGTTTCATGAGAAACCACTGAAAGCAAATGTTGTGTTCACGAGAAGTTACTGTTAATTTACCTTTTCCATTTGATTAAAATTGTGATGGATTTGGTATTACATTTAAATTTCATTTGTATTAGTAATTTATTTATGTAGTTGTATATGTTATTGTGGAATTTGATCTTTTACACTATTAAAAATTTTGCTCTCTTCAACATTTTTGTCGCTATCCCAATTGCTTGGGAGATTAACAATTGTTATATCAATAACAGGTAGCTTGTGTTTTGATGTTCAACCTTCAGAAAGATGATTTCCCAGTGGACACACATGTGAGTATTAGCTTGTTCATAAGTATTTCAGAATTTTCATTACAAGATATCTTTTGGACTAGTTCAAACTAGTTTACTCTAGAAAACCTATATGCTGCAGGTGTTTGAAATTGCAAAGGCCATTGGTTGGGTACCAGGAGTGGCAGACCGCAATAAGACATATCTTCATCTCAATCATCGCATACCGGATGGACTAAAATTTGATCTGAATTGTCTTTTATATACACACGGTAAGCTTTGCCGTAAATGCACCAAGAAAAGTGGCAGCCAGCAAAGAAAGGAAACCCATGATGACTCCTGTCCTCTACTAAATTATTGTGACAACTTATCCTGAACAGAATGAACAAAATAGTTTTAGGATTTCCATAACAGCCATACATGGTCTTCTGCCACTTTTTCATTGTGAAGAGAAAGCATTACCATTTCTTTCTCTTGAATACATTAGTAGTAGATTCTAGTGGGAAGAAAGCATTACCATTTCTTTCTCTTGAATACATTAGTAGTAGATTCTAGTGGTAATTTGTTAGGCAAAATAGATAAGATGATGATTTGCAAAATGTTGAGCCAGGACTACTTTCTGATAAGCAATTTTTACAAAGATGGGCTGTGAGGACTAGGAATAACAGAGAATACAGCTATTGATAATATCTTCCTAGATTATGTGTACATATTCAAACACTATAAATATATGCTCATCCTTTTCTCCCAGAAGCAAGAAGCATGCTTGATTGAGTAATTGGGTGAGGTGGGCAGGAAAGATTATGGCTAATAGAAGTAAAATTATTGGTGGAAGTAGTTATGGATAACAGCATACTCAAATGCTTTCAACATTTTCCAAAAGCTTTATGGTGTTTTGTCCAACAATTAAGAAAAAAAATTCTCAGCTAATGCATTAAATAGTGGCTGAAGACTTCATATTGCCCCAAATATATGCTTCTGGCAATAAAATATTGTGTCTGCGTTGTGTGAAAGATTGCCCAGATCTTGTTGACTTCCTTTAGATTGTAGATCTGCTTACATCATTGTCCACTTCTCTGATTCCTTCATTTAGTAGTTTTGTGTAGTTTCGGTCGAATGAGACTGTAGGAATCATCCTATCTTGTTGACTTCCTTTGGGTTACTTTATGTTGTTTATTTTAAGTTGCTCCATTCAGCTGTAATTTATATTATTCGACCCAAGTTGGTGTTCTATAAATAGAATAGAGCCTAATATTCTAGGGGATGCACTAATTTCTTACTTAGAAAGTTGAGGGGGAAATTGTATGAAACTTCCTCTTTGCCTCCTTTGGTCTCCACTCACGGTTAAGCTGAGAGTTTTTTTGTTTTTTTCCCTGAAAATTCACACATGGAGGTGAAACTACTGAGATCGTTCAGCTTAGAGGTGAATCCTTACACTGGCGGTGAGAAACGGGCTATGAGATCTGAAGAGGGGAATGGAAGTGGAAAGTCTGTGGACGAAGTTTCATCTAAGATGGATAAGAATGCAAAAAGAAAAGCTCGGCGTATGAACTGGAGCACAAGAAGTATGAACGTCCCTCAAGGAGTTTGGGAATTCACAAGCCTTAGGGGGTCACCAGAATGCTCATAAGAAGCGAAGGATTAAAAAGAAGAAGAAAATTTTTGTCTTGATCCTCCCCAAAAGCCTGAATGATCTTGTTTATGATCATTCTGTGCCATCCCTTGCTCCATTTTCTTCTCAAGTACCTAAGTTTACACACTATAGGGAGTCTCTAATTTCTTTCAATCACTCGCAACAGAATCAGTACTTATGTTGTGATTTTACATCCAAGTCCATATTTCTCAGCTCTCAGAATGTTGCAGCTGACACCTATGACAGAAAACTAGTTGTCAAGCCTACGCCATTGTATATTTCAAAGGGCTGTGAAAGTCTGTATATCCGGTTAGGGCTTGCTGGACGGGCAGATGTCTGCAGCTCCTCTTGAAATAGGTGTAATTGAGTCTATAGAATGCAGAGAATGCTCATGATCTGTACTGCTAGTAATTTTCGAAAGTGGAAAAGTAAAGTAAATTCCTGGATTTATTCATAATTATGTGGGAAATTTCAGAAAAAGATTTCATTAAGATTTTATGAGTGGTTTTATTAGGCTTTTTTTTCTCTAACTCCACTTCCCTGAAATTCCAGTATTATCCCAATAATTCTACTTTGTCATGCAGCTTCAATACTCAATTCTTTGGTATGTATTGCTTGCATAACTTCAATACCAATAGGAGAATCTTTTGATGCCTCGCGTTTTGACTGTCAACAAAAGTCAAATAAACTTGTTGCCTGCTGAGTAGAATGATATGGCGAACCACCATCATCAAAAGCCAGAGAGGTTACCTGTTTTTACTTCCTTTTTTTTTTTTCCTTTCTTTTCATGCGTTTCTGCTCATTTTATGTAATCATCATCTTAAGTGATGGATTTTTTTATTAGTAGATTTGAAATTAATCTTGCAATTTTTATCCCAATAATTCTACTTTGTCATGCAGCTTGCTGAACTTCGAAAATTTTCACCTACTATTAATTTTTCTTATACTTGAAGCCTTGCAAAGGAGCCTATTAAGGCTATTAATTGCATCCTTACATGCATTGCGTATATGTGTGTTATTTTGATAAACTTATGAATGAAATTTGGTAGTTTATGATCATACATGCACGCATACTCGGGGAGTTTGAATCCGAAATTGGTTGTGAATGTATAAATCCAATATATAAATGGTTAGTTTAAAAGATTATAAAAAAGAAGATAGGTTTGACATGAGAAAGCGGGTCCAAATATATCTCAAGGTTGAAGCCAAAGAAGCAGAGAGTAATGTTGCAACAGAGAGAACCTAGTGAAAATATGGTATGGGCTGTCTAATGGTTCCAGCTGAATTCATGTTAGCAGTTACAATTATACTTAAACTGATTCCTTTGGGGCAACTGCATTTCTGTGATGTAATTCTGAACGCTAAGCATCCTTTTGACAGTCAATCTTCCTTAATTTCTATGTGGGAATCAGGGGAAAGAAGTCATCCCTCAAGATTACCTCATTCTAATATATATTATGTAGTTTCTTATATTAAAATTACGAGAGTATGTTGTATATAAACTATATTCATAAAATTAAGATGAAAGAAAGTGATGATCTTCAGATCATCATCATGTGTGCGACAGTATATAACAGTTGGTTCAATGAATCATCATTACGAGAAAGTGAAAACTAACGAATATAATCTCATTCGACCACAATGAAACTAATTAAGTCTCGATAGAATTGAACTGATCGCACCTATTTCTCACTTCTCCGTTTTTGGCAGTCTTGATCCCATGAATGCTGAGTTTCTGCATTGCACGAGAGAAATCCTTGAAGAAAGCATCCTGGTTTGATGCATAAAGCTCCACAAAAGGCTTAGTTCTTGGGTCCTTAACAAGTGCATGATCAGATGCCAGAAGCCCCAGTCCCCTAGGCAAGTTCTTGAAATACATATTGTCGAACTTGCCTGGTGTAAACACATCGTTGAAGGCCGACATGGTTTTATCCTTAGTATGATTAGCACAGATATTTTTCAATCCTTCTGCGAACTTAGAGTTGAGTTCAGGATCAGTTGCTTCTTTCTTGCTGAAATTATATAACCTATCGGTGAATTCAATGCAATGAGAAAATCCAATGGTGTGACCACCTGTTAATGCAACCATTTCTTGAATAGTGAATCCTTTGGAAGCAAACAAATCGATCATTTGGTTCATGCTCATGTTGGTCCTAGGGAGATTTCCCTCCACACGGGAGGCCTTAGAGACCAAACCATCCTTTCTTCCTAGTCGGACGTTGTAGTAAGGTCCTCCAACCATGGTGACAAGGTCGCGTGTGACCAGTGCAAGGATGTCCGCGCAGGAGACAACTCTAGGGCATGTTAGCTCAAGTGCAGTCTTTGCCTTAACCACCACCTCGAAGCCATCTCCTGACAGGGAGAGGTTCAGGTCTGCATCACGCTCGGCGGTGTTGAACGAGTTTGACGCCACGAGAACGGAGGCATCACATCCCTCAACCATGCAGTCATGAAAGAAGAGACGTAAAGTGCCGGCTGCGGTTGCAGGATTGGTCATTTGTTTGTTGGTGATAACTTCACGAACTATCTTTTCAAAGTCAGGGCATGATTTCTTGTAGTAATCAAAGGAGAGCTTGGACTCCGAGAAAGGTATGGAAAGGAAGAGAAGCAGAAGAATAGGAAGAGGGATAGCCATAGGCATGCTTGGTGGAGAGAAAGAGGAAGGAGGTTTCCTTTCTTTCTCAAAGTTTCCTCTCAACATAACTAGCCTAGGATTTGATTTCTTAGGCACCAAAAATTGAAGGTAAGGCAGAGAAAGAGGAAGAAAATGGTTTTGGTGGATGGGAGGTGATTTAGGGAAACATATATTTTTTTTTGTAGGGTAGAGTATTGAGTTAGGTTAGGTTTTTTTTTTCATATATATAGTTTGGGTCCTATTTTTTATCATTAATTGTTTCTATGGGGCGTTGAAATATTTTTTTTAGTTACTTTTTGGTCCTTAATTTGTTATTCATCAATTACTAATAGCCTGGATTTTACTTTTTTTAGAGTCTTGCAAGCTAAGCTATATATGTCTTAAATCTTAACGGTTCAAAATTTTTCATGGGATACATCTCTTGACTCTTAGAGAGTGAAATGCGCTGCACCAGCAAGAAACAATACCTGTTTTTGCAAATTCCATTTGTCCCTTTAATTTCATTTCTTCCCCTACTCCGTTAATTATTTTAGCTCACAATATTGTTCTTTAATTAAATATTCCACCATTCACTCTTATATTTAGTAGTATTCATTAGGTTTTTTTTTATTTAATTTTGCAATATTTTGGTTTGATTTTCAATTCATTCAACTTATAAAATTAAAAATCAACCCAAATTGAATAATAATTCGGTTAAAAAACCGAAATTTTGTTTTTATTTTTTTAGTTTAAACCTTTTTTTTTTATATAATAATGTAAATAGACTAAAAACACCTTTAATCCATTATATATTTATAACAATGTTAAAGTATTGAGTTTTTTTTATTTTTTATTATTTTAAAACTTTAAAATAAATCAGAAAAAAAAATCAAAATAAAATAAATAAAAATAAATTTTGGTTTTTGGTTTAAACCAAACCCAATATCTAAAAAACCGAATCAAAACAGAAAAAATTCAAGTTAGTTTTTTCAAAAAAAAATAAAAAATAAAAACCGAATCGATGACGTTCGGTTTTCCAATATAAACAAATAGTGAACTCCCTAATTCAAGCTTCATTTTCTTTATTTCGTTAAATAATAATAAAAAAAGTAAATAATATCACTCACAATTAGGGAAAAACTTACTGCATGTTGAAGTTCGTTCTTCCTCTATTATTAATTTCATGATATATGAAGTTTCAAAAAAACCTTTAATGCATTTGTACATTAAAAAAAAAAAAAAAAGTGAAGTCGTCGCAATTACTTCTATTTTTATGAGGAAATTTCTAATTATAATAAACCATTATCCTGGTTTTAAGAGTTTATTATTATTATTATTTGGTAGATTCAAATTTGTTTCGCTGGTACTCAACTTCTTCATCTATCGAAAGAAAAAAAAGTCTTCTGTTGTCAATTATTGTTGCTTGATGTAACTACTTTTTATACGTTAACTTGGATTAAAAACTCCAAATGCAAAACTAGTGGTTTTTTGTTATTTTTTAATTACTAGCTTTTCATGCACTCAGGGTGTAGGAGACCCACACGTGGTAAAGTATATACAAAAGAAAAGCTATTCAACGAAAATAATGAAAAAGGTTTTTTTTTTTCTTTTCTATTCAATGATAATAGGTATTTTGGATAAATTTATTCTACAATCGAAATTAAATCTCTTTTTTGCAAAATTTTAAGTATACACTTTTGGTTTACTTCATTCACAAGAAATAAGCTATTCAACGAAGATAATGAAAAGCATTCCAAGTTAATATAGTGTACATAAAAAAAGTACTTAATCAATATTTTTTCATGATAAAAGAATTGAAATAACTAAATCATTGATAAATTCTGAGTAAATTATAAATTAGTCTTTTTAGTTTTGAAAAATTAATTAATTAGTCTATTTTATTTCAAAAATTAATTATTTAGTTTTTATATTTGTTAATTTTTATGATTGATTATCGGAGTAAGAGAGACGAGAGAAAAGAGAAGCTTTGGGTGAAATCTATCTTTATTGATTAAAAAAGCATTATAAAAATAACTACCAAAACCATGCATATTAATTTAGCTAACTAACTAACTAATCCACCTTACTCATAATTGATTATTGGTCTATAACATGCCACATAGCACAACTTTATTTCATATTCTAATACTTCCTCTCAAGATAAGTATGAATTTTATTTAGATTCATCTTGTCAAGCATACTCGTGGAAAACTCCAAGTTGCAAAGCCATTGTAAAAATATCAACAAGCTACTAATTAGTAGATAGATAATGAGGATCGGCAAGAGCCTTCTCCGTAATAAAATGACAATCCATCTTGATGTGTTTGGTCCTCTCATGATATACTAGAATTTTTACAAATGTGTAAAGTAGATCGATTATCACAAAAATAATTGAATTGGCTTAGAATGTGTGATCGACGAGATCTTGCAACAAGATAAAAGCCATATGATTTTACATGTAATAGCTATGATAGCTTTGTATTTTGCCGTTGCACTACTTCTTACCACTAGACTTTACTTCTTAGACTTCAAACTAACTAAGGCGAGTTTTTAGAAATATGCAAAAACTAAAGCCGATTTTCTAATTTCGGGACTTCCAATCTAGTCACTATTTGAGAATGATCTTAATTAAAGTGCTAACTTGATCGAAAACAATAATTCTTATCCTGGTCTAGGTTTCAAATAACGAAGTACCCTATGAGCGACCTTCAAATGCACCAATATTGGTTTGTCCATAAACTAGGCAAGAACTTACACTATATAGCAAATATCAAGTCTCGCTAAAAGTCAAATACGAAGCTTCCCCACTAGTTTCTATATTCAATAGAGTTAGTCGAAGAATCTCCGAAACATACAATAACTTATCTTTAGAATGCATAGGAGTAGAGGCGAGGTTTAGAGTAAGAAAAAACATACTCATTCAACAAATCCAAAACATAATTTCTTTGACAAATTGTAATCCTTTGCTTTGATCTAACCACTTCAATGCCTAAGAAGTACTTGAGCTGACCAAGATCTTTGAGTTCAAATTTCATGCTTAAAATTTTCTTAAAATCAATTATATCGATAATGAAACTACTAGTAATCATAATGTCATCTACATAAACTAGTAGGGCAAGAAAATTCTATGAAATAAAGAATAATTTGTTTTGAATTGTTGAAATCATATTCAACTAAAGTTGTTGTAAATTTTACATTCCATTATCCGGAAACTTGTTTCGGACCATATAAGAACTTATGCAATTTACAAATTAGTTTCTAGGAGTTAGCCATATACTCCTTCATGAGTTGATAACCGAGTGAAGGATCTATAAATATCGTTTTCTTTAGTTCACAATATAAAAAAGCATTGTTGATGTCTAGTTAAAAAAGAAACCAACCTTGATTAACAATCAAAGCTAAAAATAGTTTGATTGTGTATGCTTGGCAATAAGATTAAAGGTCTCTTGATAATCAAATCTTTCAACTTCGACTATACCTTTTAGCCATAAGTCTTGCCTTATATATTTCAATGCTACTATCAGCCTTGAGTTTTACTTTATAAATCTATTTACAACCCATTGTATGATGACACGTAGGTAATGAAACCATAAACCAAGTATTGTTTTTCTCAAGAGATAATAACTTAGAGCTCATAACTTCTTCCAAGTGTCAAATGTCACAACTTATGAATACCTTTTAGGTTCAAATATATGTGAAAAAGAAATAGTAAATGTAGCATGAGAAGAAAGTTGAGAAGTAGATAAATATTGATGAATAGGATAAAGAGTTGAATATGTAAGACTACCATAAGAAACAAGAGAGATTTAGAAAGAAGAGAATGATTATATGCTTCTAAATATGCAAGAAGTTTAGTGGACCTTACGAATTTTGTTAAAGAATGTGAAGAAGGAAAAATAGGTAGAGGAGAGAAGACTCAAAAGGAACAAAAGAAGGAAACTCAAGAGCAAGCATATGTATGTATAAAAAGATTAAAAAGAAACATCGGTAGGAAAGACAAATAAGAAGATTGAATATTAATAAAAGCAAACAGATTAGATATAGAAGAAGAAAGAGAAAATGAAGACAAGTTATTTGGAAAATAAGAAGAAGAAGCAAAAAAAGAAAAAGGAAATATAGTCTTATGAAAAATAACACCTCTAAAAATAAAAACCTTGTGAGAAATAAGGTCATAAAATTTGTATTTTTTAATTCTAAGAGGATATCCAATAAAGACATAAGGAGTAGCTCTTGGATGAAAGTTATTTCAATTGTAAGTAAGAGTAGAAATAAATCATAAAGATCCAAATGCCTTTAATGATCATAATGTAGTGAGGTGTTGAATAAAAGTTCATCGGGAGTTGAATTATTCAACAAATGATAAGGAATTCTTTTGATCAAATATACGGTATTGAGAATAGTATCCCCTAGAATTCAAAAGTAAATATACTTAAAAAAAAAAAAAAAGAGTTATAGCTACATTCAATAAGTGTTGGTGTTTTCTTTCAATAACAACATTCTGCTAAGAAGTACCTATACAAGATAATTGGTGAATTATACATTTAGAGGCATAAAAGAGGGGAAGGTGGAATTTAAAGCTATTATCAAATCATATTTGCTTGATAGGAGAGTGAAACTAGGTAAGAATCATTTGATCAAATTAAGGAATAATGGACAAGACATCTTATTTGTGTCCGAGTAAAAACACCTATGTAACTCTAGTAAAGTCATTAACCAAAGTTAAGAAATAATAAAAACCTCTAAAAGAATAAACAGAATATGGCCTTCAAATATCTATATAAAACAATTCAAAGGAAAAAGTGTATTTCTATTATGGATAGAAAATGATAACCTCTTTTGTTTTACCAATGGACAAACAAAACAAGAAGAATTGTTATTACATTAAACAATCAAATGATGTTGATGAATCAACTAGATCCTATTAGATGGGATATGAAGTAATCTACAATGACATAAATAAAAAACATAATGATTTATAAATCTATTTGTAATTGTTTGAACATTACAAATCTGTTTGATAGAATAACAATGACAAATTTAGACTCGATTGGAATAAAAACAATCATACTTGATCATTGGTAGTTCAATTATTATCTATAAAGAGTTATCCTGAATCATAAAAGAATGACTAAAAAAATCAATTTGTAGTAAGAGTTGACTATAAGCTTACCAATAGAGATAAGGTTTTGGAAGGAAGAAACACAAAGGATATCATACAATAGAAATAATATGACAAATAGACTTAACCAATATAAGTGACATCGACCTTAATGCCATTTTGAATTTTGACTGTAATGCCAAAAATAGGTTTATAAGATTTGAAACACTCAAGAGAACATGTGATATGATCATTTTCTCATGTATCAATTATCCAAGTACAAGAATTAAATGAAGACATAACAGTTTGTGAATGACGAGTAAATGGATATGACGGAAATGTACTTATGAGATTGGAAATGGGTGAGAGTGAGATGTAGTGGAGGGATTAGTATGGTTTGAAGGTTGTGAGGATGAAGCTTACGAATCTTGAACACTTAAAAAGCCATAAACTTGGAAACTTACACATGGGTGAATGGGATGGTTAAAAGAGTGGTATATGTAGTCCGAGCAAAATTTTGAACAAATACGGAACCAAATTTGTCTTGATCCGAAGTGACATTGTTGATATAAAGTGAAGAATTTCTATGACTAGAACTAGAATAACTAAAAGAACTCGCATTACCATTAAAACCCTTATTCTTAATGAATTTGAAATCTACAAGAAAACCAATAAGCTTATAACGTTTATCTTTACTATGACCAGGTCTTCTATAATAAGAACATGTGATCTCAATCTTTCTTTTAAAAGTAGACATAGTAGATCACTCATTAAAAGGTTGATTTATAACCTAAATAGATCTTTGAGACTATTCTCTTATAACCAAATCATAAACCTCATCTAGGCTAGAAAATGGTTTCATAACTAGCACTTGATACTTCAATGAAGTAAATAATTCATTCAATCCATTGAGAAACCTAAACATATAGTCTTTCTCATTTGTTTCCTCAAACTTTTCAAAACAATCATTATTGCATCTTCCGCAACTACAATGAGGTAGAGGCCTAAAGTTTCTCGGTTTTTTCAATACTTTATTGAGTTCAATAAAGTAAGCATTAACAGATTTGGTACTTGGAGTAATCGAGCATAGAGATCATTGTAAACTATAAATCCTACACTCATCCGGTTGTGAAAACCGTTTCTTCAATACTACCCAAATCTTTAGAGCTAAGTTCATATAAAACACATTTGTAGCAATAGAAGGTGTTATCGATCTTAATAAGTGAGCAATAATGAGGCTATTACGTCAATTTCGGGAACTAAAAAAGGATCATATTCCTTAAGTTAAGAGATAGAACCATCAACAAATCCTAATTGACTATGAATTGAGAGAGCAATAACAAAAGACTAGTCTAAATAGCATAGTTCTATATAGTTAGCTTAGGAATGACTACAAAAAAGCCATAATGATTTGAGTGATTGATAAAGTAAAGAGAACGAGGATCATCGAAGTTGAAACTACTTCGACCATGGATGAATGACAAGAAGATTATGAGAAGAGATTTAAAAGAAGAACAAAATTGAAGAATAAAAGTAAAATCCTAAGAGATTTCAAGCTCTAATACCATGTTAACTTTCACGATTGATTGCTAGAGTAAAGGAACATTATAGAAATAATTGTCACCATTATACTAGACAAAATGCTAAATTAACCATATTAATTTAGATAACTAACTAGCTAACTAATCCACTCACTCATAATCGACTATTAGTATATAATATGCCACATAGCACAACTCTATTTCATATTCCGATAATATTTTTAAATTTTCTTATAATTTAATTATTTTTTCTCTTTTTTAATTTATTTTGATTTTTTGTTTTAAAAAAATAAAAAAATATTAAGTAAAAAAATGAATAAATTAATGAGAAAATATGATATTTCATAAAATAAAATTATATTAAATTAAGTATCGCTAATACTAATCAATGAGTTAAATAATTAGTTTTTAAAACATAAAAAAATATTTTTTTGAAAATAAAAAAATATTTATAAATATCATTTTTGTACAAATTTGAATTTAAATATGTTTTCGTATCCTACCTTTTCTCTTGCTAAAAGCAATGTGGTAATCCTTTTTGTTCTTATTTTTCATTTTGTTAAGTAATTTTTTAATAGGTAAATCATCTTCGTTTTTATCTTCATTGTTGTATCTTTGTTAGATATCTTTAATTTTTTTAATGCAACCATTTGCTTCCTTATCTGATCTTTATGGTTCTTTTCGTTCAAGTTCACAAAGAATTTGTTTTTCTTTTTCTTTTCATTAAATTTAGTTATGAGTTTATTAGATTTTTAGGGTTTTTTTTTTTCCCAAACACTTCAATTGAAATTTTTTCATGCTTTCAAATAACATTAGCTACACAACTAAAATGGAATTAATAAAAAGAGTGAACTTTATGAAAATAAAATAAAAGAAGTAGTAGTACTTGAAAACACCATCGGTTCTAGAATAGAGCCGTGCTGGCTGTTTGACCAAAATTTCATTGGCTGTTCCTAAGAAGCCTAAATTGTGATTGGCCACTTCCACGAGGTAGATTGAGCTATAGTGGGCCCCTTATTCTTTAGTCCAACACTAATTGTATTTGTCGGAATTCCACTTCTCTCCTCAAAAAGTCCAATCTTTTCCTCGTACATCCCATTCAATTCATTACCCAATTAAACACTGCCCGTGTTTCTTCTCTTCTTGTCTCTTCAAAAACCAAAGAAAATAAAATAGATCATTCTGGCTGTTTCGTTAAAACTCAAAAAATCATTGAAGCTGGAAAGGAACCATGTTGATTTGTAGATTTCGGACATGGATTCTATTGCTTCTTCTGATGTTTCCTAATTTATTTGGCCCTTCACTCTCCCACTTTGATTCAGCTAAGAAGAAACAATTGCGAGAGAAAGTTCGAAAGATGTAAGCAAAAGTCATGCTCAATTTCACATTCTTCTTTCCTTTTGTTCTCATGGCCTCAATTATGTGCTTTCTTGGAATAGTTTGTGTCAAAAAAGACTTTGCAATTATTCCTATTGGTTTTTGAATTATCAAGTCATGATTTCTTAGATGGTTCAGAATTAGCGTGTAGTAAAGGATTAAAGAAGCATAATTGATTTTAAATGTTTGAGGGAGCTTGCCTTTATTGAATTCTAACGAAAAAAACTACTATTTAGCATGTTTTGACCAACCTGATAAACATAACTGTATAGAGATAGAGGTTTGATCAACTGAAATCCAAAGCCTCTGTCTTTTAACTGATTGCATGCCAAAAGCTCAAATTGTGAAGCACTTTTCCATTTATTAGAATTTGTGTGACTTAGTTCCGATGCAATTTGGGCATTTTATGAGCTTGTTAATGAAAATTGGAACAAGGTATAAGGAGAAAGCAAAAGTTTGAAGTCAAAAGTGTTCCTAAGTAGATATTGATTTTTTTCCTTTGTTGCAGGTTCTACCATGCATATGAAAACTACATGACACACGCATTTCCGGTCAGTTGTTCAGTTTCTTTATCCATGTTTTTGGATTAGTATGTCAGTTTTAGTTTGCAATCTTGAATTTGTTCTTCAATCAAATTGCAGCACGATGAGCTCAAGCCTCTGACCAGAAGTTTCACCAACTCACTTAGTGAGCTTGGAAATTTGAAGGTGGTTAATTATACATTTGTGGGAAGAGTAAATAATAGTGAATTGCTAATAGAGTTGACAGTGTGTGATTTTATTTACAGCTTGAGCACTTACCACAAAACTATAATGGAACTGCGCTTACACTCATTGAATCATTGTCTAGGTATGCTACTTGGATAACCAATTCGTAGACATTTCTATTGATATGAGTTATTTAGTTTTGTGCATTCTTAATGTCAATGAAGTACTAGTATCATTGAATGATTAATATAATTTTTTCTCTTGATCTCTTTCTCTTACAGCCTTGTTATTTTGGGTAACTACACAGAATTTGAAAGGGGGTTCTCTGGCTTTCTGAAAATCTAACATTTGATGTTGATGCAAGAGTTAACCTTTTTGAGGTACTAATTTGTTGATCATCTTTGAAATACCTGGATTTTGTTTCCTTAGAGTTTCATGCAATTTAAATCTTCTTGCTTGGCTAAACTTTTTCCCATTTCCGAATTCTGGGAGAAGTGGTTCAGAGCATGTCTTGAATCAAATTACTTTTGAGGTTTTTAAATGCGCTCTTCCACACCTGTGCTATTGTGTAGTGCAATATAAGAGTTCTTGGAGGACTTGTCTCTGCTCATATTCTTGCAAGTGACTCTACAAACAGGCTGGTTCAAGGATCTTACAAGAACCAGCTACTTGTTCTGGCTGAAGATTTAGGACGACGGTTTCTACCTGCATTTGATACTCCCACTGGATTGCCATATGCCTGGATTAACTTAAAGGTACTCTCTGAAAGATGCTTAATTTCAAAGATTGATTCCAGTTTCCAGTGACAAGGATCTAGAGCTGAATTCCAGATTCTCTTTTAAAGAACAAGGAATGTTAGCTGTCACATTATAGATATAATTTCTTACATCCCTTAAACTCCCTCCTCCCAGCACGCGCAATCTGAAACATTGCATAAAGATATGTAAGTTACTATCCTTTTTCCAAAATATTACATGGCAGATTTTGCTTAAAAGCAATATGGGCACAAGACATAATTATAAGATATCATATTTCATATGGTGCTCACATTCACCTAGATGATGTCCTTTCAGAGTAAATATATGCATATATTATTATCTTACGCAACAAATGGGTTACTTCCTAGGAGTCATGGCAGAATCTGTACTATGGTTCTTTTAGTTAATAACTAAGACTCCAAGAAGGGAGATGGTTATGCCATTTCAAAGAGTCAGATGGTTTAGAAAGAATCGGATGTTTTAGAATTCTAAGTGCACACTGAATTCCTTTCCATGTATCATTTGCTCTTCAGACAGATCTAGGCATACCTTAACTGTCTCTTCTTTTCAATGAGCATTTATTTCAACTTTTCATAAGTATGAACATGTTCTGCTGATTTTGTTTGTAAGAAGGATATATGACACTGCAGCAATGCGAAATTCTGTGGACAGTATGGAGTCATGAAGAGTGAGACTACTGAAACAAGCACATCAGGATGTGGTGAGAATCATATCCTTTACAATTTAAGCTGATGCCGTCACAAAATGTGCAATCCTGAAATTGGTTAACTTTCCATGTCTGAACATAGGTTCTCTGATTCTTGAAATGGGAGCCTTATCACAATTAACTGGTGACCCTAGATATGAGTCTGCAGCCTTGCGTGCTCTTCGAAAGTTATGGAGTATGCGCAGTTCTTTAAATTTGTTAGGAACAACACTGGATGTGGAAACTGGTGAATGGATTGAGCATTCATCTGGGATCGGTGCTGGTATGCATTTACAGTGCATTGATATCCTTTAGGTGCTAGGTTTTGTATGCTGGAGTCACAAAGTTTCCAATATTGAAGATTTAATTCATTTCATTAACATGTACTATTAGATTCTTTAATGGACTAGAACTGTTTTATAGCTCCTGATGGAATTGCATGCTTATATTACCTTTCACTTCATGTTTGTTATTTAACCATGATGTTAGTGACTCTTGATTTGGTGTGGTTTCATGTAGGGGTTGATTCCTTCTATGAATATCTATTCAAGGCTCACATTCTTTTCGGAAAGGAGGACTTCTGGAGAATGTTTCATTCTGCTTATCTTGCAGTGCAGAAATATTTCAGACATGGCCCATGGTACTGCACTGAGAGAAACTTTCTAAAGCATCTCACTTGTGTTTGGGTTCTTTCTTAACACCCTTTTTTCCTTGTTTTTCTCCTTATTGTTGGTGGGGGGATGAGGTCCTTTAGATGTGGATGGAATTATGGGGCTTGTCATACCCCATACTTATTTTGAATTTCATGTAGTAAATCTAGCAAAAGGTGATCGAATTTGTTTCCCTGTAATGTAAAGCATAGTTCTCTAATTTAGGTACCATGAAGCTGATATGAGGAATGGAAAAGCAACGCATTGGCAACTGACAAGCCTTCAAGCATTCTGGCCTGGCCTACAGGCAAGTAACTGATATCTTGTATGTCCCAAATGGTATTGTTGATTCCTCCAGAGGTTCCTCTGATTTTAGTTTTTATGACACCGTTGTTAGGTTCTTGTTGGGGATATTGCAGCTGCCAACTCCTCACACCGTGAATTTGTATATTTATGGAAGAAGTTTGGGGTACTACCGGAAAGGTATCGTGCATTTGTTTTCCTATAATCTTCTTTGCTGCTCCCAACTATGAGCTTGTCATAATATGCATGGTTTTACAATTTCAATGCACTTTTATTTAATAGCAAGGAAATTAACATGGGTAATTAACTCTTAAGGTATTTGCTGGACCATCAAATGTTACACCCTACAGAGAAGTACTACCCACTGCGCCCTGAATTAGCAGAGTCAACATTCTACTTATATCAAGCAACTAAAGGTCTGATTGTTTTATTTTGCAGTTCTTTAGTTTTTAGCTTTTCTCTAGAAATTTTAGATTTTCACTACTTTTTTCAAAAATTTTCCTTAAAATGCTACGTTCTGATTGTTTTATTTTGCAGTTTTTAGTTTCAGCTTTTCTCTGGAAGTTTAGATTTTCGCTTTACTTCTTTCAAAATTATTGCTTTAAAATTCTATGGTTGTGTGAATTCGCGCATCCATATGCCATTCAATGAAAATTTAACTTGCAAAAACAATTAGTAACATAAGTGGAAAGTTGCTGTTTGCTCCCTTTCAAGTGTAGCAAATTTGCAAGGCCATCAGGTCCTTGGATCGTGGACTCGCTTTTTAAATCACATATGCGTAGCCTGGCTTTATATGGCTTCTGATTCCCAAGTCATGTTCTCTTGGTGACTTTTTTTCCTATTTGTGCTTTATCCCTTGTTGACATTCTGTTCCAATTCAACAAGAAACAAAATCACCTTTGGGCATTGGCTCATGTGGGGAAGGGGTTGGTATGGTTTGACTACATCCCAATAGTAAACTTGACAACAGAGAAAGAGAGACAGGGATTCGCGCTCTAAGAACTTACTGTTGAGGCTGTGCATTGATCAGGCCACTTTGCTTTCTTTCCCTTTCCCCTTTTTCTCTGCTTGATCATTTAGGCCAGATAATAGGCCAGAATGTTGATGCGACTCTATGTACAACAATGATGGCACAAGGCTGAGTGACTTCACTATTATTAGAACATTTGTTGATTCTACTGTTCTCAATTTAATTGGCAAAACGAGCATGACTGAGTGAGGAAGGGCATTTTGAGCTTCCTGCAGGCATACATCTAGGCATGAATGCTGTACGGTCTTTGAGCTGAAGGATAGGACAAGGCTTAATTGTTACTTATTCTAAAATTTACAACTATTGTGTTTATGAATATTCCCAGATCCATGGTACATAGAAGTGGGTGAAACAATTGTTAATTCTCTTAATTCATACACCAAAGTGGAAGGAGGATTTGCAAGCATTAGAGATGTCACAACCATGCAATCAGAAGATCATATGCATAGTTTCTTTCTTGCCGAAACGTAAGGGGTTTTTGCATGAAATTTCTTTTCAGCTATTATGTTATGCTTTTATGAGAATGAAATTTCTCATTAATATATTTTTTTTGGCAGGTGCAAGTATTTATATCTTCTCTTTGACGATTCTTTTTTGGTTGATCGGAATTATATATTCACTACTGAGGGTCACCCTTTACCTGTGCTAAGTGCTTGGCACGAGAGACTGCCAGAGATATACATCCCATCAAACTGGACATATATCAAGGTCTATCTTATAGCTCTCTCCATGTCCAATGCTTCCTTATTATATATATATATATATATATATATATTAAAATAAAAATAAAAAAAAGGCCTCCTGAGAATCCAGAAACTTTCCAAACCAGATAAGAACAGTTTGCTTCAACTTTTTCAGAAGCTAATTAATTGCTGTCCTACCGTTGGGCCCAACCCTTTTTATTAAATTACAATTTGGAGTTGTGCATGTTATATTCATTTTGTTCCAAATTAATTGTGAAGACGCAGTTGGGTAATTAAGTGTTTTCACGTGTGCAGAATGAAAAGCAAACAAAACGATCAAGTGCAATGTCTCTGCAAGTCTGTCCTGCATTGAATTTGAATTCAGGAGATGGAGAACGATTGGTTGAGAGTGCTTGCCATGTCCCTGATGCTGGAAGCGACCACAAGTGTTTCAGTGATGAAGAGTGTGGAGTCGACTCAACTAGTTGTAGACGAAGATCTTGTAGCATGGCTGGTTACTGTGGCCTATGGTTGGTCGTATGATATTCAATGTTCACGATCCAACAATTTCTTACAAGTAAAGAAGGTGAGGGGAAGAAAAGAGGGATTTCCTATGCTCTTTTAAGAATGGTGGTGTGTATAGAGGAAGTCTGTGGCAGGCATGCAGTCATAGCACTCTATTTAGATATAATGTTACAGAATTTCTTCACAGTTTTGTATTTTAATCTCATTTATGAATGTTTTGTTGAAATGGGTGTATTCTTTTGCCGATACCAAAAGAAATATCAAGAAAAAGCTTCTTATCAGTGCAGAATCTAGGTAGCTTTTCTTATGAGAAGTTAATGCAATGACCAAGATTAACCTGACATAATTTGCCAGCGAACAGAAAGTTGCACTGGTAATGTCTTCATTCAAAAAAATAAATAAATAAAAACAAGAGGAAATACAGTGGTAATGTACAGTTGTGATGAAGTATTTTGCAACACCCGAGAGGCTGTGACCTCCATTGAAGCATCTAACACCAATTCTTCAAGATAGATTCATTGTATAGGCATATCTTTTTTCACCCTGGTCTGGTGGGATGTTAATATGCCATCGCTAATGCTATGACCCCCTCACGACCTATTATGCTGTATCACTAATCTCATACTGTAAGATCCTCTGATTGATGTTTCTTGTGCACTCCATTTCTTCACTCCCAACTCGTTCTACTTTTATTTTACTTCCCATTATATGAGCACCATTACAGTAATGCCAACGTTGTAAATGTGGCGTGGTAGTGAGATTATCAAAATAGCTTGGTGCCTTTACTGTTCATCAAACAATTTGGTGTCATGCATCATTTAAGAGGTCCCTTACTCCCATCCAACGTATTTTTCTAGTTGGATTTTAACTAAATTATTCACGTCACGTTCCATAAGTTCACCAAATAATATCTTCTTGCAATTATATTTAGGATTTGAATTTTAAATAATCATAACCAACCAAAATAATAGACTGAAACTTTATCACTATATCCCTTATATAATTCATCGGGATAATTACTAGAAAAACCTTCTAAAAAATATTCTATCTAAAAATACCACCAATTTATTTTTAAATATCTCAAACTCAAAATAGTATTTTTCCTATCAAAACATTCAAAATAATATTTTTCTTACTAAAACACCTAATTGTTAAAATTAGTGTTAACTATTTATATATATATATATGTGTGTGTGTGTGTGTGTGTGTGTGTGTGTGTGTGTGTTTGAGAGATTTAAAAATAAATTGGTAGTTTTTGTTTTTAAATAGAAACTTTTTCTAGAGGCTTTTATGATAATTATCCCTAGCTTAAGTAAAATCATTATATTCTAAGATATGTATTTCTACTCGTTGATGATCATGCTCTATTTAATTAATACTCCAAAATATGTTATATATTCATCATGTAATTTAATTTAATTGTTTGATAAAAAAAAATATTGAGTTTTGATTAATTAAAAACTAGTACTTGCTTATGGGTTTTTTTTCATCTATTAATGTGTTAGAATTTAAAAACTCACTAATGTTCATGACCATATAAATATTCTTGTTTTTCTTATTTGTATGATGATCCTTTGATTAAATTACAAAATGATAACAAGAATCTTATTTCATTGATTAGTTGAATTGCATGAGTTACTATAATGACTAGATAGTAAAAATAATCTTGTAGTTGATGAAACAAACGATCAATAGAAAGAAAAAAAAACTCATACACGGCGAATTTTTAGTAGAATAAAACAATAGTAGTCGATAGTCATTGTATAAGCATTCAAAGAACCTCTTTTTTATTTTTTTCTTTTGATTGCAATAAAAAAGAACCTAAATATGATCATGATAAAAAAAAATCAAAATCAAAATCACTAAAAATTATGAAATGAATTTATTATTAGATAATTACTGAAAAAAAACCCTCTAAAAAATTTTCTATCTAAAAAACCCATCAATTTATTTTTTAATTATCTCAAATATATATATATATATCAAAAACACATAATAGTTAATTAGTATTAAGTTGGAGGTTAAATGTTGGGTGTTTTGGTAAAAAAAAAAATTATTTTGAGTTCTAGAGATTTAAAAATAAATTGATGGATTTTTTAGATAGAATTTTTTTAAAAGTTTTTTCTAGTAATTATCTCTAATTCATATTTTCTGAGTAGAATATTTGGGAAAAAAAATTATAAATGGTCACTAATTACAAAATCTTTAATTAAACAATTAATATAGTAGATGAATATTAGAGAATATGAATAAAGGTTTTGATTGATTAAATTTTTTATACAAATATTATTGAGAAAATATGTAACATATAAAGGAATATTAGGATATTCTCCAAAATTAAATGTTTTAGTTTTTTTCAAGATATTTCAGATGCAAAGAATTAAAGTAAACTTACAAAATAAGTACAATTATTTTTAAAAAAAAATTATATATAAAAATATTCAAATTTGAAATTATTTGTTTACACAAATAAAAATCCTTCCGCTCGAAAGCAACTCTCTTCTGAAAAGTTTTAAGTAATTTTGTGCACAAATGAGAATGAGATTCTGCAAAGTTTTAAAACCCCCAACAAGCTGAGACGTATTCATGAATAGAAATCCTTGATGCTAATAATTTAATGCATTAAACAAAAAAAAAACAAAAAAAAAAGAAAGACAAGAGCATGGCAACGTCTTGTCATTTGATTGCTAAAAATAGAAAAAAAAAGCCACCTTTTTTTTGTCACTCTCTGGCCCCACGCCATACCGCAAACGTCAAGAGTGTTGTGTCTTGAATTTTCAATGCAAGGCAGCTAGCTGGTATCCATAACAAGTCCAGCTGGATCAGTCAGAGTTCATAAAGCAACCAATCAAATATCCTACTATACTTGTACGGACCTGCCAGTTCCTTCTCTAAAGCGAGGAGACAACTACACCTCCCAGCTAGCTGGGGTCACTTCATTTCCTATATTCTGACGCTTTGTTTGTCGTCACTTGAGACCACTCACGACGTTAACCTTTTGTTTGGATAATTCCTCCTGGAGGGAGGAAAGAAGATAAAGAAAAAAAGTGAGAGAAAAGAAAAAGAAAAATAAAAAAAATTATTTTTTACTTGTTATTTAGATAAGAAAGAAAAAATATATATATATATTATTATATATTTATTATAATGTCCTTAGGATTATATTTTTATTTTGATTTTTTATTCTCATTAATTTTTTTCATAACATTTATTTATTTATTTTTCCTTTTTAATAGAAAAATAATAAATATAAAAAATATATAATAGACAAAAAAAACTAATTTATTAATTTTTAAAATAGAAATAACTAAATAATTTGTTTCTCAAAACTATACAGAACAATGTATAATTTATTCCTATACAAAATTACACTTAGTTTTGATTTATTAAAAACTTATCTAAAAATATTTTTTAATTAATTTAAAGAAAAAAAAAGAAAAGAACAATTGAAATAAACTCCAAAGCTATACTGATCCATTACAGTCCGTGGAATGAGAGGAAAATTAGAATTTATTATTATTGTTTTCTTGTCACATGGATGGAGCAAGGTAAAAATGAAAACGCAAACTAAATGAAAAGTCAGTTGCAAGTTTCCTTCGGTTTCCTCCCAAAATTGAGAGGAAAATGAGTCCCACGAAAATATCATTTATTTATTGTTTTTTTTTTTCCCTTTCATTTCCTCTCCAATCCAAACAGTGAAATTTTTCATTTTCATCCTCATTTTCTTTTCTCTCCCCCGTTTTCATCCCTATCCAAACAGGGGTAAGATAAACTTAGGACAACAAGAGATATGCTCAGCTTCAGTGGGACCGCTAGCCAAAGTTATGATTCCCCTTATAATATCATCATCAAGATTTGCTCGCTTATTAAGCTGTTATGCATAGCGATATGTTGCTTGGCCTGGAGGTGACCCCATAAGGCATGCAGGTCATCTTGTAATTACAAACCCCATGACTGACTAATTTAGTCAATTAGTGTCAACAAGACCTCTATAAAGTGCATGGCAATGCCAGCGTTTCTCCCTGCACTAAAAAAATTTGCTTCGTTTCAAGATAGTAGCAGCTAGCTAGCTAAGCCATGACGGCAGTACGTTTGTTTCTTGGTTTGACGGTTTTGCTCTTCTGCCTTGCTGAGGTACAGGGTTGATTAATTTGCTTTCATGGCTAAGGGATTTTGTTAGAGAGTACTGTGATTTAACTTGAAGCGGGATCTGCCTTTGCTTATAACATGCAGGTTTCATCTGATCTCAAGATGGACACCGAAATGCTCCATGCTGGCCAGGCAAGACACAACCCTTACTTCACATGTTTACTTTCAGTTTCCTCATTTCTGGAAAAACGTTGCTTATTAATGCAGTTGCTGATGGTTTGTTTCTGCTTTTGTGGGTGTCTTTGTAGCTTCTTGTGAGGGGTGGAAACAGGAGGCTCATGCAAGACATAGGTATGGCTTAGGGGCTAAAGGATCAGGGTGTATCTTATGTTGCTTTTTTTCGTTTCCAGCTTGTTACATACAGAAATTGATTTGATCCATAGTACATATATGGAATGTTTGATAGCTCTTTTTCTGTGACATTTGTTTCTACTTTGATCTTCAGACTGTGGGGGGTTATGCAAGCAGAGGTGCAGTCTTCACTCGAGGCCTAATGTGTGCACGAGGGCATGTGGCACCTGCTGTGTGAGGTGCAAGTGCGTGCCTCCTGGGACCTCGGGGAACAGAGAAGTATGTGGAACATGCTATACTGACATGACCACCCATGGGAACAAGACCAAGTGCCCATAGGCCCATGAACCATGGGGGCTTAGTGTAGCTTTTTTTGGTCTTTGCAGCTGGAAAAATGGGTTCTCTTTCAGCTTTTGTCTGCCTGATCAAATGATACGATGTATTATAGGGATGCTGGATAGTGCTTGCATTTTAGCTTTTGTTCTTCTTTAATTTCAAGCTTGGTAGGGATGAAAATGTTTAAATTAGCGTTTGTGAAAATCAATGTTGGATGGTTTGTAGATTAATTGTTCCCTCTTCTTTTATTGTGCACGTTCACAGCATAAGTTTATAATTTAGCAAAATGCTAGCAGAAAATTTTTATGTTACTTTATCAACAGTTAGTCAATAATTCAACTCGTTTGTCCTTTTTTAAAAATAGTCTCACTTTGATTATATGCCTGACCATTGCAGTTAAAAAAAAAAAAAAAAAACTTGCCTAGCTGTTGAGTGCGGTTAAAAAAAAAATTGTTGCCTAGCTGTAGGTAATTTAAATGACTTCTCTCATATTCAAATAACAAATTAGGTGTAAATTTTTCTTGATATTTGACTGCCTGCCAACTAGTTGTTGATCGGTCATGTTTACAGAAATAGCAAATATACTAATTTTTTTCCAACCCTACGGTCGGTTTGAGTGGTTGAATTCAAACTTCGAAGTGACATAATCATTGAACCATAGAACTTACTTCCATCGAGCCAAATACTTGTCACCGAATCACTTACAGGAAAGCTCGCAGCCCTTCTCAAATCGTTTCTATACTGGATCATGATGTAACAGAAGAAACTGCCAAATCCAAAAGCCCAATTTGAGCTTTGATAAATACATGGAGACTCGCTTCAACTCGCTCATTCAGTCCTATTTTAGCGGTCGTAATTGGATCACAAATGACGCTCACGCTTTTCAGGATATTCACCAGCTGATGGAGCAAGTCCACTTCTGAACCTCGCTTAAATTGCATGAACTGCCTTTTTAAAACATATCTTCGAAAAAAATGCATTATAGATAAAAAGAAAATAAAAATAACCCACTTCGCTACCAAGCGGGATTTCTATTCATAACGAATTCAAGAATAACTAAACAAAAAAAATACATGGATTGACACCGAAATAAGGCATTTGTTAAATCATTTCTAGGCAGTATAGAAACAAAAAGGTCCAAGACTAATCCTTGGATTGCTACCCGTCTTGAAACATACTTAAGAAGCTAATAGAGGCAAAGCAAAAAACAACTCTTAGTTCATAAAAGAAGTCGAGCTATCATACTCCCAATATTTAGGAACAAAAAGCTGCTATTCTTGGACACTAGTAGAGCAGCCAAACAAACTCCAGATTTATGCTACTGGAATCTCAATATTTGTTGTAAACACTGGTGGAACATACTCTTCTTCTTCCTTGGGAGGATGGATGGTCACCAAATCAGGCATCGGTGTCATTGGCCCCACCTTGCCCTTAGGATCCCAGTCAAGCATGATCTTGACCTTGATACCAAGCACACCCTGTTACCAGAGAAGGTTATAAGGAAAACAAACACAATTAGGAATTTAAAAAAAAAAAAAAAAAAACAAGGGCAATGAGAAAATGGTTGCAACAATGGGCAATCGGCAAATTGTCGCCATGGTACTCCGCAAGGGAAAAAAAAAAAAGGGACAGGCAACTCACCTGTCTAAGAAGAACGTGCCTAACAGCTGAATCAATATACTCTTTAACAGGTTGGCCAGAGGATATCATGTAACCATCCTTAAATTTCATGGATTTGGCACGCTGTGCCCGGAGCTTTCCACTCACAATAACCTGTGACATTACACAAGTGAATTAAGTTTTCAGAATGATTGCCGCCACAATGCAAACATGGAACCAAAATCTTGAAGCATACCTCGCATCCCTTTGCCCCACTCTCCATTACAAATCTTAAGACTCCGTAACAAGCCCTGTAAACATGACAAAAATTTGAACTCAACCACAAATTCCAAAGGGGGACAGAATATATGCATGCAGATACAGTTTGACTATTCAAAGAGACCAATGCACAGCAAGTGCTTGAGAAGTGAGAGGGGAATAAACATTTCTGTGTCCTCACGAAATCTGATTACAAAATGAAAGCATCAAAATATAAGAACTCTAAATACAAACACATGGCACTTGAAGGGACCAGCAGGAAAGTTGCATTCAAATCCAACTACAAGGATAAAGAATTCCACAAAGTGCAGCACCCACCAAATATCAACAGGAACAGAAGAATAGTGTGAGAGAAAAAAAAAGCAACATTACAAACTTAATCACAAATTTTTTCAATCCAACGCACTGTGTGAGGCCATTATTCATGCATTTGTGTGTGCATACAATTAATAAGAATAAAATACCAGGGACAGAAGAATAATCTAAACTCCACAACCTTGATAGCAGAACAAGAAGCCAGACAAACTCCCTACCCATGATTTATGTGAGAATTGTTTCCTTATTGATAGAAACCAAGAGGCTTACAAGTCAGCCAAAGAGGTATATGATACAGTGGTTATGAGTACAATCGTCCATTCCATTTATGTCATGAACAAGTATCAAATCATGACATTTCCACGCTCTCCACAAATAATATGATATTATTGAAGTCAAAAATCACTACAGTTTTTGGAACTGTAATGATCAATAACAACCAAAAAGCACTTTCTTAAACTTGATAATCATTATTTTTCAAAAAAAAAAAAAGAAGGGCGGAAGAGATTACTGGAGAAAAGACATCATAACAATGCACTAGATAGTAATGTACGTGATATGAATAATACTGGTATAGCTACAAAGGGTGCATCTGCCATCAAAAACTTTGAGCAAGGAATAACAGTTGCATTCCTTGGATTATAAAAAATTGATGGCATCAACAAATATTGTCACCCTCAGACACGAGATGGACATGTTTAAGTAACCAACTCGCTGTAAAGATGACTTGGTCAACAGAAACATCATTAATAGCATTAAAATTTCATAATAACCAGAAACATCAGAATTCATAACAATGCCAAACAAGCGGGTAGACGGCAAACCAATGCAGAGATCACCCACTATGCAGTCAATCAATAGAGTTCAAGATACCTGCGAACAGCAAGGCCTCCAAGGAGCTTGTAACGAAGAGACTCAGCCTGAGCAATGGCACAGAGACCCCTGTTGCTAACTTTCTCAGCATAGAGCTCGACACCATTCTCAGGAAACTTGAAACGTTTCTGGACAACGGAAGTCAGCTCCCTGATCCTCCTTCCCTTCTCGCCTGAAACAAACATAATAGGAAGAACATATTGGGTACGAGTAGATAATATTCTCCAATTTTTTATGGCTGGCTAAATAATAATAAAAAATTTACCAAGAACATTTTGGGTACGAGTAGCCCGGATGATGATCTCGGTGCGCATGGGAGTAACCCTGACTTCAACACCAGAGTATCCATCCTCAGCCAATTCTCTCATCAATACTTCATTCAGCTCTGCATAGAAAACTCCATCCGCAACAAACTGTATATTTCGCAGATATATGAAAACAAATTCATCAGATTCTTCTTTTGTTTCATGAGAGAACCAAACAAAGCAGAGAGAAAATCAAATCTTGTTGGAATTTACCTTGCGTTTCTTACTGATTTGAGTAGCCATAATTGAGAGAAGATGGATTTCAGGGTTTAGGAAGAAGCTACGCCGCTTGTTTTTGTCCCTCCGTTTCTTTTTCTGTTCAAGAGTGAAGTAATGCGAAGCGCAGGCCAAAACCCTAAAGAAATAATGGATGCGTTTGTTTGTGTTTAGAAAGAGCTAGGCTGTTTCAATTTTACATGCTACGATGGATGGGCCTGGGCTTAGATAGTCGGATCCACACAAATTAAGCCCAAATTGGATTTCTAAGGGTCATAGACTATCTTTTTTCTCTAATCTTTTTTATGAATTGGAAAATAGTAATTCATTCCAAATGTCATCACACAAAAAAATGTTTTGTTTAAGACATTTGAATGATTAGTACTCTTTTTAGTTTTATAGCCTAGTTTCTCATGTTAAACTTAAACCTTATTGGAATAGATTGCTCAATATATTCTTATATAATAAATTAAGTCTTTAATATATCTTTACGTTTTTAATTGAATTTATTATATTTTTAAATAGTGTTTAATTATCCAATTAATCTTTTTCACTATTTTTTTTTATCAAAAGCTCACATGTACATCACATAATCAAAATTTATTTTTGAAAAGCCCTTATTAAAATGCAAAAAAAACAAAAAACAAATATATCTCTAACATATCCTTAAATTTCTAATTATATCTATGTTCTTGTGTAATATCTAATTTTTCAACATGTGCTTGAGTCAAGTTTTTCCATCTAAATTGATAAAATTATATTTTTCTATTCTAAAATTTTTCTTGAACTATATAAACATATAATGAAAAGTTTTATCAAAATTTCTTAAAATGCTTTAAGAAATAAGAAATTTCTAAATTATTAAACCATTCAAATTTTCAAAAAATAATGATTTTATTTTTAAAAAAGCAGTAAAATTATATGCTTATATAGCTCAAGGGTATTTTCAAAATGAAAAATATAATTATATCAATTTGGATCGAAATATAGTTTTTTTTTCAAAAAATTAAAATTGTATGGTTGTATGGTTTTATATATATATATATATATATATATATTCCTCAATCAAATTTTTCCATAAAGTTATATTATTTTTTTTATAAAATTACTAAATATATTAAAACAAAATCAAAAAATACTATGCAACACCGTTCACATATTGTTCACACACTCTACTTTTACTATTCATTCACTATGCAATCTCTCTAAAATTACTATTCATTTACGATAGTTGCAATTATTTGCCTAAAACTATACACTTTGGTCCCTTATTTTTAAACTTTGTTTTTTTATTCATAACTTTATTCTTCTTTTGTTTTAGTCCCCCACATGGTAAGAGGAGAAAGAAACAATTGAGAGAGAAGGATGGCGAAGCCCATTACGACCACCCCAGCGGTCGATATTAGCATCAATGTT